CTGAGCAGATGATGGTAGAATTGACGTAGCCCTGAGGCAAGTCTCATATGCATGTAACAGCAAAATGCCCTGGCCAGTGATAGAGACAAGGCGTTAGCCAGGCCATTAGCAGGGCGGGCCCAGGGGTGTCAGGCTGCCAGAGGGGATCATCTGGTTAAGTTAGGCAGGTCACAGCCATTGGCCAGCACCCTCCTGACTTCTGCCCAGGCCAGTCTAGTTAAATGGGGGTGTGACCGATATCACCACCTTTGTTTCTTTCGAGTCTTGGACGTGGCATTAAACTCTTTATCCTAGAGGTACGGTATTGCTTCTGTTAAATATCTTTTTAAAAAATGTTTCTATTAATTTTTTAGAGAGAGGAAGGCAGAGGGAGAGAGAGAGAAACATCGATGAGATCAGCAGCCTCCTGCATGCCCCCTCCTGGGGACCGAGCCCAAAACTTGGGCATGTGCTCTGACCTGCAGTCCAGTCAGTGACCTCTTGGTGCATGGGATGATGCTCAACCAGCTGAGCCACATCAGCCAGGGTCTGGTTAAAATCTTGGTAGAGAGGGAAGTTCTAGTGGATTCCCTCCTAGTCTCTTCTATAACAACCCTTGTCAATTGGGCCAACTAGTTGGTAGTGGAGAGCCAATGTGGGCATCAGCCAGTTGTCAAGTATGTCTGTTCCCAGTTCTTCCAGGAGTTGAGGAAATGACCACAAAATCAGTGCATGGACAACTGGGTCCACTGTGAGTCGGACTTGAGCGAAACACTCCCCCTGTTGCCTGGCTGTCACCAGCCCTCACTTGGACTGGTAGGCCACAGTGGCATTTGAGTCACCAGGAATTAGCAACCCCCAAAGGGTCTGGGTGCTTGCTGTTCTCTCATCAGCACTCACTCTAGTAAGTGGCCTCGGAGTGGGGAGGAGGAGTCGCAGTCGGTGCTGTGAAGCAGTGCGGGGCCCCTCCTGAGCAGGTTCTGCCTTGGTTCAGTTTCTAGAACTGAGTGGAGAAGCTGATTGATAGGTTATGGCTTTTCAGGAGCGATGATTACTATCAGAGGTGGAGTTTCCCCTGTTATATAGATCGGTCCATGTTTTAGTAGGCTGCCTATGGAGCACTGGTCAAGTAGCTACCATGAAATTACTGACACACCCTGCCGCCCTTTGTGAGGACACACCCACCTGGTCTTGGTGAGGAAGCACACCAGCTGGGCGGAAGTCTGTAACTTTTGACTCCCCCAAAGGTCACCACTAATAGCCTCCTGTTGGCTGGAAGCCTCACTGATAACACAGGTTGTCTGTGAACACATACCTTATATGTTGTGGGTGTTACATACTGTCTTCTTACAATAAAGGAAGCTAGAAAAGAGAAAACATTACTAAGAAGATCTCGAGGCAGAGAACATACTTCACAGTATTTATTGAAAAGAAAATCTGCATCTAAGTGGAACTGTGTAATTCAGATCTGTATTGCTCAGGGTATGTGACAGGGACTCCATGGCCTGCAGATCCTAAAATGTTTACAGTATTTGCTATATTCTAATAATAATACACTGGCAGAAACATGGGGAACGTGTAGGAGTGTATTCTAAGGATCTTTGACCGAGGAGGGTAGAATATAATTCTGTGTGGGGCCTAGTTTATTAACACGGGTTCGGTGACTAGAGTCCACATTAGGGACTGGCTCACACAGCCAGCAGTGTCGCTAGCGGCTCAGCCAGTTTATTGAAATGTGGACTCCACAGTGACCTGCCTGTAATGAGCGGAGACGCCGAAGCTTCCCTGGCAAGACACCAAGGGGCGACTCAAAGGCCTGGGGAGACGGAATGTGTGACCTGTGCACACGGAGGCACAGAACCGCCCCCCCCACCCCACCCCCCGCCCGAGAAGCGCACCGTGGGGCGTGTCGGGGGGGGGGGGGCACTCCGTGGCCGGTCTCCTTTGTAGTGTGTCCTGCTCCCTGCACCTGGGCTGGCAAACGCGCCTGTAAAGGACCAGGACTTCTCCCAGTTGTTGCATTTGTTCTTTAAATAACTGGGTTGTTACAATTGGAATCTAAATTTCTTTTACTTCATAAATTCCTTTATGGGGAAACTTTTTTCTTTAATACCATTTAGATTTTGTCTGTATTTTAAAGATGCTAAAGATTTAGCTATGCTTATAACCAGAGGAGGAGCCGTGAGGAAAGACGGGATGAAAAGCAGGTCTAATGATCACACTCATATGTGGGATCTAAGTAACAAAATAAACTCATGAACCGAGTGGATCCGGAGACATGGCAGCCTGGGACGGAGTGCGGACCCTCGGAGGGAAGGCGGGAAGGTGAGGGGTTGGGGGGAGGTAATCAACCAGAGACCTGTGTGCACACACGCATCACCCATGGACACGGACAACAGGGAGCTGAAGGCTTGGGGCGGGAGGGGGTCAGTGGGGGAAACGGCGCATATGTAATACTTTCAACAATAAAGATTTCTTAAAAAATAAATAAAACAGATCAATCTGACTTAGCCCCCCCTCCCCCCCAAAAAGCAAGTCTAGGAGGTTGGAAGGCTGGGTTGCAAGGGAGGTGACAAAGGGCACACTTACCCAGCTGCTGTCCTTAGAGAGGAGAAGGGCGTGGATTTCTCACCGGTTCTAGTTTAGCTTCTTCCCCTTCAAACGAAAAAAAATGAAGGAAAGAAGTCGTATGGCCCCTGGCTGGTGTGCTCAGTGGTTGGAGCACTGGGCTGCAGGCTTGACCCCCCCCACCCCCCCGCAGGGCTCATGAGGGAGGCAACCAATCCCTGTGTCTCTCTCAGTGTTTCCCTCCCTCCCTCCCTTCCACACTCTCTTAAAAAAATCAATGGAAAGAATATCCTCGGGTGAGGATTAAAAAGAAAGAAAGAAGTGATGATGAACTCATACGGTTAAGTTTGCAGTAGAGGAAAAGGGCAGTCAAAGAATTTTATTTTCTATAAAGTAAGAGCTTATGTGTTGGACTAAAGGATTCTGGAGAGGATGTGTAAAACCCTCTTTGGAGAACGAGAAAGGAGGTTGTGGAGAAACACGTGTTTTTATTACGGGCATTCAGTGATAGTAAATCGTGTGTCTGGAAGGCGGAAGGAACCTCTGAAAACTTAGTGTTACAGCTAATCCAGCTCAGGCTGGATTCTGGCCTCGCGGTCCACCTACCTGTGCACACTCGGACGCAGCCTGCAGGCTTCTGACGGATGCTGCGGTCTGGTAGGGTGTCTCCAAGGCAAGCCTCTGTTCATCTGAGAGTGAACCAGAAAGAAACTGCTAACCCAGAGCGTCATCTGTTCTGCTGGAGACCTGCAGCGAATGCTCAGTGTTTTCAGATATTGTTAGAACTCGGCACTCTTAAACAAAAAAGTCTCCCTGCCATTGTAGGGGTGTCAGATACCACTGATTTCAAATCAGAAAGGTTGGTAGCCTGTTTTTGCCTGTTTAGGGAAAAAGACACACTCATATGTGGGATCTAAGTAACAAAATAAACTCATGAACCGAGTGGATCCGGAGACATGGCAGCCTGGGACGGAGTGCGGACCCTCGGAGGGAAGGCGGGAAGGTGAGGGGTTGGGGGGAGGTAATCAACCAGAGACCTGTGTGCACACACGCATCACCCATGGACACGGACAACAGGGAGCTGAAGGCTTGGGGCGGGAGGGGGTCAGTGGGGGAAACGGC